TTACTAACGCGTGTATTTTGTTATTAGAAAGAGGTACGAGCCATCCAAGTAAGTACTTTAATGGTTTAATTGATATTATGATATAGAAATTATGCTTAGATTGTTATTTTGATTCCTAGTATCATGTTAGGATGTTTTCCTTAATTTGATGTCTAGGGTAACTTTAATACCAAGTATGATTAAAAGTATGATGTCCTTTATCTTATTCCTAATATTCATGTTAGTATCATGTTAGGGATAAAGCATTGATTTTTATTGTTTAGTGACATGCTAGGGTTTGTTATTAATCTTGTTAGTATCATGCCTAGGATCTTGATATTATTATTATGCTTTAATATGATTATGATTATTATAATTGTTATAATTATAAGTTTTATTATTATTTTTATGATGATTATAATTATAATTTATTATTATTTATTACGTTGCTTGATTGTTATTGTTATTGCTTGATCACACCTTTTATGCATGTTTAAAGGGAATTGGTATTTGTAATCACGCTTCATAAGATAATTAATAATCTTGTTTAGGGTTAATTTGATTATAATTCAAGTGATCGCTAATAATAGATTTATTTGTGCATTAATATTCAACCAACATAGTTAAACAGGTTTAGGGCTAAACCTATTGATTGCATGTTAGTCAGAAAGCGCACATGAATACGATCAGAATAAAGTAGAAGCCTATTATTAGGGCAGGTTCAATCTCTTTTAGGTTGGATTTGTATCTTCATCCCCGAACTACCAGTCATGGTTCAAGACCTTTTGGAGTTGACGATCTCTTGGATCATTAAGGGGTGTAACCTTCTCCTCGTGAACGGTTTACAAGTTCCTAAAAAACTTATTGGCGACTCATTTGCTCAATCTTCTTTCCCTTTGGACGCCACCGTACTTAAATGTATGATCACAGTGGGGTCCAAGCTTGGGATAATGCTTGAAATATTCCCTACATAGGTAAAAAATATCTGTAATGGCGAAATTAGATGAGTCTTATTGAGCTTTCCCTACTTCAAAGTCGTTTCAATTGAGTCTTGAAGACCTTTCATTCTTTCAATCGAGTCTTGAAGACCTTTCATTCTTCTCAAAATGTGCTCTTAGCTAGTTATACAAGTATACTACTCAGTATTTTTTATTGTAAAAACTAAAAAATAAGGCAGAATGTTTACATATTTGCCATTAGATAAACACAATTGGTTTATCAAAGTGAGAACTTTGTATTTTCTCGTGCATTCACTAAAACTAAATCATTCTTTAACTTACGATCATGTATTCAAAAATTAATTAACAAAAATCATGCATGTATTGCGTGCATAAAGAGCTTAAATAATCAACTTAAGTAAGAAAATAAAATAAAAATTTATCAATAAGAGACAAACCTGTAGAACTCATCAGTAGTGTTGCAATGGCGAGCAGCTTAAGATAACTAGAAGCACCTCTTTCCATAATATTATATTTCGTACTACGTATATCAATTCTATTTTTTTTTTGTTTTTAATTCAAATCAATTCTTTTATTGGTTGTTGTTGTATGTATCACTTGTTTATAAGTTGTTTATATAGATGTACAATGCCTTGGGCAATTATGTAAGTTCTGACAAAAGGCCCTTCACTCCTCAAATAACAAAGTGACAAGATTGTTGGGGTTTGGTAAGTCCAACTTACCACGGGAACAACCCCGACTCAAAGAACCACTCGCAATTAATAAAACCATAAATCATAACAAATAAACATAAAAGGATAAAATTGGAATTTACCTTTGACGCGTGCTTCGCCCTCAAAGTCAGGCTCTTACTTGAAAGCGTAGCCCCGCTAACACGAGAGCCTCCAACGAAAGTCCACCCGCAAAAACTACTAGCGACTTTTAGGTCTGTTACCTCAAGGTTAGCGAGGTCCGACCAAAACGTGAGTATTATGTGAGTTTAAGAATGTCTGATAATGCAATGCTCTATTGAACTCCTACTCAAGCACTCTTCCCAAAAACCCAAGATGGGTATTTATAGGCAAGAGGGAGAGTGGGAATTTCTATCCCATCAATGTGGGAATCATGAAATTCCACAATTTATTTTAAAGCTAAATTAAAATAAACAAGCAAACTAATAATAAATCTACAAGTGTCACTATTATATGTAAAGGGAACTGAGGACCACTTGGGGAGTAGGGGACCATACTTAATCCCCACTCCATTCTCTCCTTGTGACACATGTCCCTCACCTTTTCCCTCCCTTACTTGCTTCCCCTATTGCACACGGCCCACCACCCGCACCAAGGTGATGTGAGTTGCTGCTGCTCGCAGCTAACAAGCCACACACGCTCGTGCGAGCTGCTGATGCTTGCGGCCAGCAAGCCACGCACACCTTGTGCGGGCTGCTGCTTGCACTTGCGGCCGTGGCTGCCTAGCGTTGGCTTAGCACATAATGCCCCTAGCACTCGGATGCTCGGGGCATTCCGATGCTAGGAGTATTTTGGGAAATATTGTCGATTTATTATTATTTGCGCGTCTCGTCATTTACTATTTTTGGCTCGACTTCCGACGCTCGTTTTTGACGCTCTAAGCTCAAAATTCCGACGTCTAAATATTTAATACTCGGGCGATGAATTAATTTCTTCCGAATTAATTTGTCGAGTCGGTTCGTTTACTACAAAGGGTGTGACCCGAAGGGTTCAGTCAAGATTAAGTTGTAATATTAATTATGCATTAATATTAATGATCGGAAGCGGCCTCCGCCTAGACATTCCGATCACTTGACATTACTGAATATATTAGCTTTCTTATAATTCCGAACCCACTAACGGAATTGTACACTTGTTCGAAGGACACCATTCCTTTCAAAGATAGCTCTCCAATGTTTTTTGTTTTTTTTTTTTACAGAAGAGCTAGAAAAGAAAATTAAAACTGAAAATATAACAACTGCCTACGACAAGCACACCCCGCCAACGAGTGAGCTGGTGAAACCCAATCCCGAGGAACTTTTCGAATCTGACACACTAAAAGGGAAAGAACGACATCTCGCAAATCTTGAATGAGCCACCAAACTGAAATGTCTAACGATCCTTGAGACGAGAGAAATGAAAGGATAGCAGCACAATCCATATGAATCCGGATCTTCAAAAAACCCTTTCGAACTGCAGACTGAACCCCCCATAAACAGGCTTGTAACTTAGAATGGAAAGTAGAACTCGCCATAAAAGCCCGACTCCCACCACCCATAACCTCCGACGAGCAAAGGTCACGGATAACCCAGCATGCCCCTGCTCTATTAGTAGAACTATCCCAAGCCCCATCCACAATAAAACAAGATGTTGGGAAAATATTAGGTAACCCCATCAAGCAAAGCCACGGGACAGCCGACAAACCCGGACCGGCTGCCAAACGAAAACAAACCGAAGAGTTCTTCATCTCCTGAGCCTAACACACCGATAATACCAATCCTTGGCTAGATTCTCAATTGTGCAAGGCAACCAAACTGCTTGCCTGAACCTTTGCTGGTTTCGAGAAATCCAAATTTCCAAGAGAATAGCAAAAAAAAAAGCCATAACCTTGTTATCCGAACTAGACAAAGAGTAACGAGAAATGGAATCAGCCACCCAAACCTCAAAAGGTTAAGACTGGGAAATCACCCAAGGAACCCCCATCGCCCCCTACTCTTCCCTGAAAGTGTGTACCGCCTCCTCCAACTCAGCATGGCACAAAGCATAATATGGATCAACTGGACAACCTCGAGAAGATAGGAGGCGGCCATCGGAAGAGCGTCCTATAGCAACTTCCAACCAAAAGATTTCCAACGAGGAAAAATAGGTGTAGACATCTACTTTTGGCCTCCTGTCCCGACAGGAAGTGCAATGACGATAAATAAAACCATCTTCGTGTTGGATAAAAGTGAAAAATACTTATGGATAACCAGTTAAGCCACAAAACACAAAAGACTAGCCTTAATTTAAAAAAAAAAAGCCAAAACAAAGGTCAAATTAACTAAACCAGATCATAATTAGGCTTAAGCCCGTGCTTAAAACCTAATAATGACGGATTTAGGAGCGCCTAGGTTAAATCTTAGTGTTGCCGCAGAAAAAGTCGCGCACATCTCAAAGAGTCGCGCTGGGCTGTCGCGCCCAACTAATTCAGTTGCGCGCGACACCCAGCGCAACCCTAAGAGTTGCGCTGCGGAAGATTCAGAATTATACGGAAAATATAAAATCAAATCTTACCATAAAGCCGCGTGCAAGACAATTAGTTGCGCTGCTGTTAGCAGCACAACCAAATCACTTGCGTAAGGATGCCGCGCGCAACTCATTATGTTGCACGCAACACCTGCTGCGGCAGAATGCTCGAAACCTTAACCTAATCATTCCCTATAAATACGAGCTTAGACCGAGGCTTAAATAGACAGAAATTAACCTAAAACTCTAGCGAAATACTTTTGAACTTGTGCAACCTATCCCCTCTTGTCCTAAACACTCACCTTTTTTATACTTTATTACTACGGTGGAGGTTTCCCAACAAGAAGGAGTCCATAAGTGTTCTAAACAGAGATCTAGCAAAGAGAAGTGGTAAGTTCCCGAACACTTAGTTAAATCACATTTATTTTCTTGTTTAAAAAGACTTTAATTAATTATTTAGTGTTGTTTGATCACCTTTGAAATAATTAATTAATCAATTCCACATAGTATCTTGCAATAAATAAAGATTAGAATTGAATTATATAATTGTTGGTTGATCATTTAAGCTAAGGCGGATATTGTTTATTTTCTTGTCCTTTTCATGAATTTGATTAAATAAAAATAACGACATTACGATGTAATTCCTACGTGAATTAATGCTTGTAAATAAAATTAACTAACATAGTTTTAGGTATCGCGTTGCATATATTGTTTTGTGATGAAATTGTAAAAAAAGAAGAGCTAGTAGAGGCCGCACTAGGGCTAGGATAACGATTCCCCTCTAAAAGGAACATTATTTTAGTACCCTCGCTCCCGAACTCATTTCTGGTTAGGACCAAAAATAAAGAGTGACATAATAAAGTATGAATATTTCATGCAAAGCCACGGAGGCAAATTATACACCATAATTATAACAGTCCAAGTACTATGATTAGTGCTCATATTACTAAATGGATTAAAACCATCACTAGCCAAACCAAGTCTAACATTTCTAACATCTTGAGCAAAATCAGGATATTTCTCATCAAAACTCTTCCAAGCTAAAGAATCAACCAGATTCCTTTGTTTCCCATCCTGACTACTTCCCTTTTTATGCCATCTCATTAAATTGGATGTTTTAGATGACATAAAAAGACGCTTTAAGCGGGGTATGAGGGAGAAATGACGTAGCACCTTTGCTGGACTACTTTTCTTTCCAATTGAAGGATCTTTCCATCTCGAAACATTACACATAGTACAAATTTCATCATTAACCTTTTCTTTCAAACACAACATACAATCATTTGGACCTACATCAATTTTAGTGTATCCCAAACCTAAGTCTGCTAGGACTTTTTTCATTTGGCAAAGATTCTTTGGAAAGTTTGAACCTTTAGGAAGAAGCTCATTAAAGAATTGTAGCATACCCATTCAAGCATGTATCACTCCAACGATGCAAACATTTCATGTGATAAAGTCGAAGAATAAATGACAAAGTAGTAAATTTATCACATTCAGGATATAATTCAGTTTTAGCATCTTCCATAAGCTTTTGAAACTTTTCAGCTTCTAAATTCAGCCCCCCTCACCAGGTTCAGGATATTCACCTATGCTATCATAAAAATTAGGAAACCCAAAAGCATCATGAAGTAATCCATGCATATCATCAATACTAAGATTTGACTCCTCATCACTATGAGATTCATCATCTAAGCCTGATGGTGAAGGTTCTTCCCCGTGAAAAACCCATACACTATTAGCATAGTTTCTATCAAAACCCTTACAAAATAAATGCTCACAAACATCTTTAGGATCAAGATACACAGTAACTGAACATCTCCTACATGGACATTTAATCCTACCATTTAAAGCTGAGGCATTAAATGCAGAATTTATGAACTGGTCTACTCCTTCCTTATATTCTGGACAATTTCTTGGCATACGAACCCATCTCTTTTCAACATCCATGATACAAATTCACACACCTATCAAGCCCAAGTAAAGCCATATTTAATTAAGTCATTATTAAAATTTCAATTAACAGAAAGCAAAAGGCTTAGAGCCATATCCACATACTGTTCAAGTAACATATATATATAACAAGTAGACATGCATGCAAATCTATCACATTACACCCCATCAATAAAGTAATAATTAATCATACAACTTACACAACATACAAGTTACTATATTAACTAAAAAGGAAATAAAATCAATAGCAATGTTTAACTATAATGGAATAAAGTATGATTATAATAGTGGAAAGAGATAGTACCAACAAGAACTCAATTCGCTAAGTATAGATTTTCACCAACGCAACCAGAAATATAACAACAACACCAGTTGATCTGAGGAGCTTAACACCTTTGATTGTATATAATATCAAAATAGCTAGCTGCACGAAACAAAATTAAAACTTTATTTTAGTATTAGATTACAATAAGCATAAGCCGAACAACATGTAACCAATCATCACATTACAATAGCCAAGTATAGAAACATAATTAAAACTTACTCCCACCCTAACCAATCTACCCTCAAAACCCCACTGGTTTGTAGAAGCTACATGTTGCATAGTGTTAAACACTCCTTTTTATCCACTACCCTTCTAATCATCACATTACAATAGCCAAGTATAGAAATAAAGTAAAATACTAATTATTTCCTAACCTTAACAACATGCATTTAGTTCATTAAGAAGTCAAATCCTAGTGTCCTAACATCTTACAAATTATGTATCCCACCACTTGTTGCTACCACCAGAACATAATTTTATTTTTTCGTAATTAATAATTAATTAAATAAGAGTATACACACCCCCTGTTAATACTCCTTGCAAATTCTGCCTCCATTTTGACTTCTTAATTTGGCTCAATTTTAATTTACATCCATATGAAATTATACAATTTTATAAAAACAAAGTATGAATATAATTGCATTAATAAACAAAATGTATACGTTCGTATTGCATAGTACAAATTCTTAAATGGACCTAGTTCACATTAATTTATAGTGGACCATTAACATTAGAGAAAGTATGACTGTTTTATTAATAAAAAAAAAAGGGTCACTATAATTAAAAAAAGGTCACTATGTTGAAATAAAAATCATTTTGGTAATGTATAGGCCTAAGTGGTTATTTTTGTAATGAAATACTTTATATACTGATCAAAATGAATAATAAAGGCCACTATGTTAAAATTAGGGTAATAGCGTCATATTTCAAGTTCACAATATTATTAAACTTTGTAGTAGTTTTAATAAAAGTTACTATGTTAAAAATAAGGTTACTATGTTAAAAATAATGGTCACTATATTCAATATAATGTCAATTGCATGTGTATAGACCTCGGGTCCACAATAATATTATTGTGGACCATATTATTGTGGACCACGTCCACGCAAGTCGCAAGTCTTTTTGATTGCATAGTAGTATATAGCCTATCGATTTCTATATAGTATGTCAACAAATTTAATATGTTAATCTACTCAAAATATAATTATGTATTCAATCTCCAGATTTAAAGCATATATAATTATAAAAAATAAATAAATAAATAAAGAGAACTTCACCACTTATAATAAAAGGACAAATAAGCAAACATATACAGACTAGCAGGGTAAAACGAGATAAATTAAGGAAGTTTAGATCTGTATATTGACACATTAAAATGAAAGAAAATTTGCAATTTCTTAAGAAATACTCATGGATAGAATTAATTTACAAATTTTACTCAGCTAATTAGACTAAAAATTTAGAATTATACATCAAATTGGGTTAAAATTGTTGCTTAAAAGATCAAAAAACGAAAAATAAAGAGAACATGCTAATAAAAGTAGAAATAGTGATATTGACATATACCCAGATGACAAATTCCACTTAATTGCAATAATCTTGACCCAAATTACATAATTAAGTATAAAATGACAAAGATAAGTGGACAAAACAAAACAACTTTACTAATAAGTGGAAAAAAACGAACCAGTGGGAGTAAATTGTTGGGTGAATTACATAATTTGAGAAAAAAAAAAAAAAAACCCACCTTCTTTGTGTTGATAGTTATAATTTGCGTGGAATCTTGATGTTAACGATGAACAAAGAGATTGTGCTTGCTTGATGATGACAAACCCTAAGAATGTACTTGCTCATATGATTTTTTCACTGGTGGATCGAGAAGACAAAAGGAAGGACCTTTTTTTTTATGAATTTGGTTATGGTTACATTACCGAGGTGAAATTTTAGAAATAAAATACTTTAAATTTTCCCTAACATTTTAATGTACCGCCCGCGTGAAGTTTGTGGGCAAAGGCTACGTATACAATTGTTGTATGTGATCCCCATATACATCTCTCATTTGTCATGTTTCTATTGGCTAAAATAATAGGCACAAGTTTCATTAACTTCAATTTATATTTGACTCCTAATTTTCTCCCATTTTCCATTGATGTGCCTAATTCCTAATAGTGTTGTATGTAGGGACAATATACAATGATTGTATGTGTATCAGCTCTCAAGTTTGTGAATTCATTAGATGTACTAATGGGCTTTAGTATCAAAATAATGTGTTACTATACGTGTCTATTTGTAACAGAGTTAATTTCGATACCAAAAAAATCTATTAGTGTCGGAATATTTCTGATACTATGATGTCATTAGTATCAGATAAAAAAAATTCCGACACTATTGTAAAGTCTAATATAGAGATTAGTAAAAATCCAAGAATTAGTGACAGAAAAAAAATATCCGATACTAAAAAAATCTTTTAGTATCGAAAATATTTACTGATACTAAAGACTCTTTTTCTAGTAGTGCCATGACAGAAAAACGACGTCCATTCCTCTTCATTCTTATGCTTATAAAGGTTTCGACGTCTAGGGAATGTCTTTACTCCATTAGCCTCAAGGTTTTGTGGCTGATCAACAATTCGCAAGCACTCCATGAGCCAAATCTGGAAAACAAAAGGAGAAGAAAAATAAAATCAGTTTGCGATTTTTTTACACAAGCAGGTGGCACGTGCAACCAAACCAGTTGCTCGCAGCGAAAAAGATTGCGCTGGTCATGCCAGCGCAACTTCGTGACTTGCACTGATAAACGCCGAAAAAAAAAAACTTACGTGTAATAGGAGTGGACTGACCGTGAAACCGTTTTCGTTAGGATCTCCACTAAGGCGATTCAAGCACAGAACAGTTTCCGCCAAAACCAAAGGAGCGGGTGAATGACATCCCTCTATTTTCTCTACTATGGACACCATGGAATAATCTCCGTATTTTTTGCTTGTCCTAAGTAAACAATTAACAACAAGACAATAACATAAAGCACAAATTTTAAAGCGTTTTTAGTCATGTTGTCACGAGGGGCGACAAAATGTTCAATAAATTGAATCAAGTTCACGCCTTCTTCAGTTCCAATGTTGGTCATATCATTGTCGGACAAGCCAAAAAATCTTTGGAATATAGGTTTGGGATCCGACAAGGTAGGCGAATAAGTCACATGAGAGTATTTGTAGGGAAACCTAGCAAGGCCTCAAACTCACCGGGAAGGGGGACAATTTCGTCCCCTTTGAACAAGAAAAGATGGTGGTTAGAGTCCCAATGGTTAACTGCGGCATGAAGAAAATCAAAGTTAACCACTAGTTGCATATAATTCAATAGAAGGTCTAAGTGGTAAATTTTGAAAACTATTTTGTTCTCGGTTGAAAGGGAAGTGACCCATTGCTTCAAAAGTTGTTCAAAGGTCTTCACCATTGTTCAAAAAAAAAAACAGAGAGAATGAAAATTTAGAGAGATTAATTCTTTTTAGTTTCTTATATTACTAAGCGAATGAATGCGAGATGATCAAAAGTCTACACGAAACCACGTTTAAATAGACCCAAAAGGGGTAAATTTTCGGCAAATTCTGCTTAAAGGAAATTTCACTAACATGTGGCGCGCGCAACTCATGAGTTGAGCGCGACATCCGCGCGTAACAGATTTACATGCACGCAACAGCCTCGCGCAACTCACGCAGTTGCACGCGTCTCCCCTGACGCGGCATGTGAGTTGGGTTTATTTCCGTATTTTGGCTCATATAATGACGGAATCTTTACGAAATCTTAAGACGAATCATATGCTTGCCTTCTAACACTTTGTGTCCCTTTTCTTACCTACTTTCTTATTTTCATTTTATTTTCTTTTTTTATTTTTTATTTTATTATTTTCTTTTTTCTTATTATTTTCCTACTTTCTTTTTCTTTTTATTTTCTTTTCCTACTTATTTTCTTTTTTCTCTTTTTTTTTCTTTTCGCCTTCTTTTTCGAGTTTGGTTATTTTTTCGAGGAGGGTAAGTCGGGAACCCTTTCCCTCCCTCGAAATTTTTTTTGCTAATAATTATAAAGTACACATGGAAACAAAAAAAAATATAATAATGACATATATACAAATGTGTCATATGTACAAAAATGCAAAAAAAAAAAAAAATACATCTGTTTCCTAAAAAAAATAAATGTGTACAAGAGAAATCAGGGTGCTCGACGACTACTAGACGGTTGCTACACATTCTGCAAAATCCAAAACGAAGATTAATACATGAAATGTAATAACTTCGTTGAAAAGAAAAGAAATAAAACTTATCGCGATCAAACGATGATCACGGCATGATAAAGTCACGAGGGCTCTTCAATAAGCAGCTCAGAAAGCACGTAAAGTCCTCACCAGGCCGTTCACGGATTCCCGCGGAACCTGTTCCAAATATACAAGGACAATTAGTAAACAAATGTATATGAAACAAAAATAAATAGAAATGTTTAAGACATATACACCAAAGACATACCGATTCAACCGTCTCAGGTACAAACAATATCCCCTCGTCATCCTCTTCTGCTGAAAGGGTCTCACAAATTACCGATCCGACAGCATCGGTATACATGATCTCCGCTGTAGGAGGCACCCAACCACCTAGCTCGACCCGCCAAAATATATATGACAAAAAACGATAAAAGGGTCCAAATTTCGAAAAATAAATAGAAACAAGGAAAAGAGAGAGTTAGAGTACTAACCGGAACAAAAGCCGAAAAAGGAGTCAGCCTGGATGCTATAAAAGCCGGATAAGAAACCTCCGGCAGCACCAGCTGCTCCGCTAGATAACCAAAGATCGCCTGAGCTCGATCCTCGGTAGATGACAGGGTAAAGTCGTATCCCCTTAATCAAAAGTAATTCATAAATCCTTTAACTAATGTAGATAGGGAAGTAGGGTCGAATCCACAGAGAAACGAGTCTTTCTAATCCTAATTAATTAAAGTAATCTAAATTATAAAGTAACTAATATGTAAATTTGGATATAAAACTAAACTACGAAGATTAAGAATAAGGATAAAACAATATATAAAAGGATCTAGGGCATAGGTTCACCAATAAATAATATTCTAGGGTAAAACATAATAATCATTCATTAATGCATACATTAATCAGATCATAAAGGGCTTTCGCTACGTATTACAATCACACAATTAATCTACCGGTATTAAATCTCATCTCTCGAATCTCGACTTAACCATTTATAAATTAACCTGCCTATTGAAATTAGACCTAAACATTAATACTCATCTGTCGAATCTCGAATCAATATTGTCAAACTCATGCATAAAAGATCTGCGCAAATCTAGTCACAGAGCATTAAATCAATCAATAGGAAATTAATCTAGCATTGACAATTAACAACAATAAATCACCCCTTCGTATTATTTATGGATCCCCACAAACCCTATAAATAAAACTACTCACACATAATTAAATATAAACAAATCAAAGTAATTAAACAAAACATGATCAAAGGAATAAAATAAATAACTAAGATTAAGAGAAGATAAATCGTTACCAAAATAAATCTCGAATTAAGAAAAGAGTTAAGAACAAAGTATATGAGAGAGAAACTAATCTAAAAGCTAAGTAGAGAGAGAAAATCTAAAAGAGAAGGTAATTAAAATTCCGTACAAAAATCGTACTTAAACCTCCCTAAAAAAAATCCTAATTGAAAACTAATCAGATCCCCTAAAAAACACGCGCCCGATCGGGCGAAGGGCCGCCCGATCGGGCCCGCCTTTTTCTCTGCGTACTCTTCTAAACAGCCGCGCCCAATCGAGCTAGCAGCTCACCCGATCGGGCGCGCCTTTGGTCACGCACCAGCGCACTCTCGCGTCACGCCCGATCGAGCTAAGCTTGCCCAATAGGGCCCTTGCTTCACCTCGAGGCTTGGAACTTCAATTGGGCTTATTTTTTCGGCCCAATCCGGATATCCACTTAGGGTCTTGATCATTCGGTCCAAATACCTCAGTATCCCAATTACCGAGCCCTTAATCACCGGCTTGATGACTCTAACCGGTCTTGGGCTTCAAAGATGGTCGTGCTCCTCTAATTTCCGTAGTTGATCCATGAAAATCCGGGAAAATGCTCCTAAAGTGCAATTTCCTGCAAAACTCCACCAAAACTACGAAAACACTAGAAAACACCAATTAGTAATAAAAGTGGCTCTAAAGAACCAAAAACACTACTAATTATGACCAAGGGACGGGGGTTAAATACTATATAAAATAGATATATCAGTAGACAGCAAGTTCGAACGCAGCATCCGGATCGGAGGATCCGCAAGAACCAAAGGCTCCTCGGACGAAAGCTGCCAGAGAACACGCTCACCTAAAAACCAAGCGCCTGTCCTCGATCTAGAACACTGAGAGTCCTGTATAGAGGGCCGAAACGGCAACGAACCATGCCAGACCGGATAGCCTCAAGGACTCCGACGATCAAACTCCAAGGACGGAGATCGATCTATAAAACACAACCACATGAAAAATCATCAAAAAATGAATAAAATAAAAAAAGAGCACATGTAGTTGGAATAATCACCGACGCACGAGTCGCTGAAAGGATCCTCTGGTGAAATTCGCTGGCAGAAGTAGCTCTTCTCTTCTTAATCGCGACCAATCGATGACCGATAGGAAAACGAGTAGCTCCAAGCACCCTGGGGGCTAAGAAAGGCAGCTACGAGTATCCCCAAGCCTGAAACTGAGAATAGATAAGCCTAATGGAAAAAGCAAAAGTAATAACTTAAAGAAGCTTAAAACACATACCTCGAAGATACGACCATGCCACGTAAGCGAGATTCAAGGCACCTCAGTAACTTCCGCAGAATCCATCACCCGGGTCGCCTTGCCCATAGCTGTAAGCATGCGGGCATACGACACCTCCGCCCAACTCAGGTCACCTACTTGCCCCAAATAACTGAAGCAAATAAGTAACCCAATGGCGAAACGCTCTCCCGGATCACTTAAAATGGTGACGGAAATAACGTGAGCAATGTATATTTGAGCCAATGGCGAACTACATGACTACAAGCTCGCCTCCGAAAGGAAAACCCGTAATCATAGAGAAGTCGA